ATGTCAATGGAATGGATTGTACAAAGCCATCTTAAAATGTACAAAGCCATTTTGGACTGTACACAGCCATCTTGAAATATACACAGCTATCTTGGACTGTACACAGCTATCTTGAAATGTACACAGCTATCTTGGACTGTACACAGCTATCTTAGACTGTACGCAGCTATCTTAGACTGTACACAGCCATCTTGAAATGTATGCACCAATCTTGGACTGTACACAGCTATCTTGGACTGTATACAGCCATCTTGGACAGTACACAGCCATCTTGGACTGTACGCAGCCATCTTGGACTGTACGCAGCTATCTTGGACTGTACGCAGCTATCTTAGACTGTACACAGCGATCTTGAAATGTACACAGCTATCTTGAAATGTACACAGCCATCTTGAAATATACACAGCTATCTTGAAATATACAAAGCCATCTTGGACTGTACACAGCTATCTTGGACTGTACACAGCCATCTTGGACTGTACACAGCTATCTTGGACTGTAAACAGCTATCTTGGACTGTACACAGTCATCTTGGACTGTACACAGTCATCTTGAAATGTACACAGCTATCTTGGACTGTACACAGCTATCTTGGACTGTATACAGCCATCTTGGACAGTACACAGCCATCTTGGACTGTACGCAGCCATCTTGGACTGTACGCAGCTATCTTGGACTGTACGCAGCTATCTTGGACTGTACGCAGCTATCTTAGACTGTACACAGCCATCTTGAAATGTATGCACCAATCTTGGACTGTACACAGCCATCTTGAAATGTACACAGCTATCTTGAAATGTACACAGCCATCTTGAAATATACACAGCTATCTTGAAATATACAAAGCCATCTTGGACTGTACACAGCTATCTTGGACTGTACACAGCCATCTTGGACTGTACACAGCTATCTTGGACTGTAAACAGCTATCTTGGACTGTACACAGCTATCTTGGACTGTACACAGTCATCTTGGACTGTACACAGTCATCTTGAAATGTACACAGCTATCTTGGACTGTACACAGCTATCTTGGACTGTACACAGCTATCTTGGACTGTACACAGCCATCTTGAAATGTACGCACCAATCTTTGACTGTACACAGCCATCTTGAAATGTACACAGCCATCTTGAAATGTACACAGCCATCTTGAAATGTACACAGCCATCTTGAAATATACACAGCTATCTTGGGCTGTACACAGCTATCTTGGACTGTACACAGCCATCTTGGACTGTACACAGCCATCTTGAAATGTACGCACCAATCTTGGACTGTACACAGCCATCTTGAAATGTACACAGCCATCTTGAAATGTACGCACCAATCTTGAAATGTGCACAGCCATCTTGAAATGTACGCACCAGTCTTGGACTGTACACAGCCATCTTGAAATATACACAGCCATCTTGAAATGTACGCACCAGTCTTGGACTGTGCACAGCCATCTTGAAATATACACAGTTATCTTGAAATATACACAGCTATCTTGGACTGTACACAGCCATCTTGGACTGCACACAGCCATCTTGGACTGTACACAGCCTTCTTGGACTGTACACAGCCATCTTTGACTGTACACAGCCATCTTGGACTGTACACAGCCATCTTGGACTGTACACAGCCATCTTGGACTGTACACAGCCATCTTGGACTGTACACAGCCATCTTGAAATGTACACAGCCATCTTTGACTGTACACAGTCTTCTTGGACTGTACACAGCCATCTTTGACTGTACACAGCCATCTTTGACTGTACACAGCCATCTTGGACTGTACACAGCTATCTTGGACTGTACACAGCCATCTTGAAATATACACAGCTATCTTGGACTGTACACAGCCATCGTGGACTGTACACAGCCATCTTGAAATGTACGCAACAATCTTGGACTGTACACAGCCATCTTGAAATATACACAGCTATCTTGGACTGTACACAGCCATCGTGGACTGTACACAGCCATCTTGAAATGTACGCACCAATCTTGGACTGTACACAGCCATCTTGAAATATACACAGCTATCTTGGACTGTACACAGCTATCTTGGACTGTACACAGCCATCTTGAAATGTACACAGCCATCTTGAAATGTACGCACCAATCTTGAACTGTACACAGCCATCTTGAAATGTACACAGCCATCTTGAAATGTACACAGCCATCTTGAAATGTACACAGCCATCTTGAAATGTACACAGCCATCTTGAAATGTACGCACCAATCTTAGACTGTACACAGCCATCTTGAAATATACACAGCCATCTTGAAATATACACAGCTATCTTGGACTGTACACAGCTATCTTGGACTGTACACAGCCATCTTGAAATGTACGCACCAATCTTGGACTGTACACAGCCATCTTGAAATGTGCGTACCAATCTTGGACTGTACACAGCCATCTTGAACTGTACACAGCCATCTTGAAATGTACACAGCCATCTTAAAATGTACACAGCTATCTTGGACTGTACACAGCCGTCTTGGACTGTACACAGCCGTCTTGGACTGTACACAGCCGTCTTGGACTGTACACAGCCGTCTTACACTGTACACAGCCGTCTTACACTGTACACAGCCGTCTTGGACTGTACACAGCCGTCTTGAAATGTACACAGCCATCTTGAAGTATACACAGCTATCTTGGACTGTACACAACCATCTTGGACTGTACACAGCCATCTTGGACTGTACACAGCCATCTTGAAATGTATGCACCAATCTTGGACTGTACACAGCCATCTTGAAATGTACGCACCAATCTTGGACTGTACACAGCCATCTTGAAATATACACAGCTATCTTGGACTGTACACAGCCATCTTGGAATGTACGCACCAATCTTGGACTGTACACAGCCGTCTTGGACTGTACACAGCCGTCTTGGACTGTACACAGCCATCTTGGACTGTACACACATGTCTATAGCCATCTTTGATACACACATGTCTTGGATTTGTACACATCCATCTTGGACAGCCATCTTTGATTGTACACATTGACTTTCAAGGTTCAACAAAATACAAATATACTTACATGTACAGTATTGATGATATAAGATGACAAGTATTGCTAATTTATGTCTTGAATACAATATGATGATGTTTTATTCCAAATGTAATTTGAGAAATGAATAATATTAATAATTGCTTCCAATTTGGGTAGTCTGTGAATGTCAGTGGGTCATATTATTGATAAAGAAGAAGAAATGTTTTTCTCTCATCTTGACAGAGTAGTCAATATACGTCATGTGGCTTTGGGTGTGGCACTCTGACTAAAATAGAAATCTCATCTATTGTGCTATACATATGACAGTGCCAGATGACATGTTATACAAATTGGTCATTAAAGTGACTGAGTATATTTCATATTGCGATGACATTCAGTCATTAAGTGTAAAGGAGTGTAATATTACATACACAGTGTAGATTCTGCTAACCTGTATTTTGTCATTATTTTCAATATTCATAAATTTCTTGTTAAGTTTTCTGTTACTTTCATACAAAATAATGTTCTGGTCAAATGTTAGTTACGATAGGCAGTCATAAAATTGGCCTGCAACTCTTCAACTTTTCAAATGAATATGTTGCTTTCTATGCATTAACGATTACACGATAAGACGGTCTTTCAAGTGTTTAAGTTGGATACAGTGAATGACCTCATGTCATCTGTTAGCAGATGATCTCAGTGACACTATCATTTGTTTGGTGTGAGTGTTTTGTTCACTTACTGGGCTTTGTAAATAGTACTGTTCCTGTCTGCATATTAAATTAAATACTAAAGAGACGAGGAAGTCTTTTATTTAACAGAGGTCTTTAGTGCCTGAGGTGTGTACTTTGAATACGTTTCTTTTTGCACAATATTAATTTTTGACAAGTCATTGTATTACAAGGATGTTGGATTTACCACTCTACATTTTGGTCATTATTACCCGTTTGAATGTTTATTTGTAAACCTACTGCAACTTGTGTGATATTCTGTTAATTTTTATTCATTATTCTTGACAAAAACAAACTTTGCATTGTATTGTTAATTAAATTAATATGTTTTTCAAATTGTACAGTATGATTGGGTTTATTAAAAGGAACTATCACAATATAAAAAGCATTGCTGTACATTAGTTATGTGTTGCAATTGAAAAATGGTAGCACAGTATAGTATGAACATTGATGTGTTTCAGTACAATTTCTGTAAAGGCAGGCTAGATGGGATACTGAAATATTGTACCAAGTTATGTGGAAAACGTCTTCCAATTCTTTCAAATCAATGACAGTACTTTGACATGGTCTTTCTTTATAAATGTGTCATCGGATAATTTAGCTGAATTTGTAACATCTGTTTTTTAAATAGCTGATTTTTGGTTCAATGTGAGATGAAAATGACTTATGCATACAGGTATCACGCAGTTCTTGTCTGTATAGATACACTTAGTGTGGGGTAATCAGGAAATGGATATTGCCAGCACAATGTTTATAGTCTACATGTACATGCACAATATCATGATATCATACGTTGATGACACGTAATGTATCTGCGATGTGATTGGTTTATAAGCAAAGTTTAACCTTTGACCTCATCACTTGTATGTTATCAAAACGATCATTTCAATTCAGTTTTGTTGTCTTTAATTGACTAATAAAATCTAAGTGCATTAAGTGTGTTAAACAGACTAGCATTTTTCTAAGGCAACCCAGATGTGATGTATAAAATACTAAAAACTGCAAGTATAAATAAAACTGACAAATAAACTAAGGGAATTTAAAAGAAAATTAGAGCCTACATCGAATTTTGATCAGATTGACTTTAAACCTATTTTCCATGTGCTTGGGTGTTCGTGCTTCACATTTCTTGTTACCACCAAATCATAAATACATACGAGATTGAACCTTCTTGATTTGTGTTACATTAATAACAAATGGCAACATATTCTATTATTACAGTATTAAGTAAACATTTCTTATCCCATATGCATAATCCATTTTTTTGTTTCAGATTTAATTTGATGCATCAGTAATTGAAAATGTCTGTTCCAAATGGACCCACACGTACACAGACCATATTGGATAATATGGTGGGTGTCGGTGACTGTGTACTATTAGATCCAGTAACAGAGGATGCATTTGTTGATAATCTGTTACTCAGATTTCGTGCCAAAGATGTTTATGTAAGTAGTGAACATCACTGATATTTTTGTTTGTTTTTTGTTAAAACTTGAACAGCTAATTCACTGGCATGAACAGCTATAATGTGCTGGCATAAACAGCTAATTCACCAGCATGAACAGCTAATGGGCTGGCATGAACAGCTAACCCACTGGCATGAACAGCTAATGGGCTGGAATGAAAAGCTAATGTGCTGGGATGAACGGCTAATGTGCTGGCATAAACAGCTAATTCACCAGCATAAA